TATCAAGTTGAATGAGAGTGAAATTTTAGATTTTTAAAAGTTGTTGTAATAGGAACTATTAATAAAGACCTATGAAATATGATATTAGGAAGTGTTTTTTATACCATAATGTGCAGAAAGGCATATTTTAAATAGTAATAGAGAATGTAAAATTAAGAAGTCAAGGGTTTACTTATAACTTTACTATTTAGTGACTGAAATGACAATAGAAATTGCTTAGAACAAGTTTAAAAAGTACTGATTTGCCTGATAAATAAATGTTATAAGAAGGAAAATTATATAAAGTAATCATTACATTATAATATTGGTACAATTATTATTTGTAATATATAAATAATTAAAATGTTTACGGTAGCGGGAATCATGTTTCTGCAATGGTTTTAAAATGTCTCAACATTAATGAGAATATTGTAATAGATGATTGGTTTTGATATTTGGCACGTGCTTATATTAAAGCTTATAAAGATAATTAGTTAAATGACGTAATTTGTAAATTAAGTGGAATAAGGTACTAATCCTCAGGCTAATTTGCCTGAGGCAAATAAGGACTAAGAGGTAATATGCGATTAGTTTAGCTAAGAGAAGTCTAAGAAAACGTAGTTCTGTTTATTATTTTGTCGTCGAAAGAGAAGTATTTATTTTTTTAAGAGAAGTTTGGTTTACCTAGTTCGATTTGGAGAGTATTTAACTAAACTTTTTAAGTAGCCTTTATACCTCCCGAGGGGTAAAAAGGCCCATGTTGATTATTAAGAGAAATATGTACTTAATAAAAGTTTTAATTTATTTTTTTTTCTAATTTACGTATGTTTTTAAGGAGCCCTTGTGAAGATATATTGCGAAAAAATGTAAGTTCACAAGAGGGCCTTATTATACCACGTCGCATTGGTTTAATAAGGCCCAAAGAAAGAGTCAAATGTTTTTAAAAGGATTGTTTCTTGTACTATTTCTTTAACTTTTGTGATAACTCAAATTAATAAACTTTGTAGAAAACATGATTTTGTCTTTCTAAACAACAAAATATACTATTTATTGCATATTTAAGTTAAGTGGGCTTTATATGCTTCAAGTACCTTACATTTTATTATGATGACATACCAAATAAAACACATAAAACATAAAACACACCACAGAAATGAGACCGTTAATTATTATTAGAGCTTTCATGTGAACAAAGACAAAGACAAATAGTTCACTAATTAGCTCTTTTTAATGTTTAGTTTGAAATTAAATAATAATTTTCAATTTTAATTGATTAACCATTTAATTTTCTCAAACCTTTTTATTATATGCATTTGTTAGATTGCTTTCTGATAGCAGTTTTTTAATATTTATTTAATTTGTTTCTCACCTGCTTAGGGCATTGGAACAGATAAATAAAATTAAAACATTCATTTAATTTTACAGTTAGTAAAGGAGTTACAGTTACTTGAGGGAGTGAAAAATCCAGTGGCGTACTTTAAATAAAAATCTGTTGACCAGTTTTTCTCAAAATTGGTAATGAAAATAAATAGGGCTCTCAGAACTGAGCCGCGGCACGTAGGCGTACGCATTATTTATTAAAAAGCAACAAACTAAATTGTCTACAGTACACCACCATAAACACCAAATGATAGGAATTATTACGTGACGTGAACGTGAAAAGAATTCTGAGGCAGCGGCTCACGCATGTTTCGATTGACCAGCTTGGCACGCCACTGAATTGCGGCTCTCTCTGACAGTTCTAGTAATATGTAGGATTTGATAGGTGAAAATAAATGAAAATATTGTATGACAATATAGTTTTTTTAGCTCTGAAAACATAATTAAGTAAATCGAATAATAAACATCTTAGATTTTGAGAACCTATACTGCAGATTGAAAATAGTCACCGAGCTGGATTTTCATGACAAATTGAATTATCTAATCATAAATTTTATAGCTCCATTTGTTCTTGAGCTAAAGATGATATTAATTTTATCGATATTTTCGAACACATGTGTTTGTAGTTGTTTGTTAATAAATAAGTTTAAATTAAAGAAAATAATAATAACTCTATACTATTTTTTTGATGTAGAATCGTACGGCAGCACTATTTTTTTATAGAACGTTAAGCTTAATTAGCTGCAAAGTTAAACTTCAAATTTTTTAACTGGAAATAGTAGGTGGCCATGGTTACAAAACTTTCTTACTTTCCAATGATACACGCCTTGTAATAGGTAGTTACTTTTTTCATATACACATATAGGAAGTATTTTTTACTTTTCAGTTATATACAGAGTGGTCACTTAGATGGTGTTAGTACCTTCTGAACTAGAAGACACATAACTTGCAGAATACTTTTTTACATCGAACACAGAAAGGAGCAATTTAAACAATTTATGTAACTTATATTTATTTGTTTCTAGCTATTAATTATTAAAATACTGTCCACTTTCCGTAATAAGACGTATAAATGTCTAGCTTTTCACTTCAAAATAATAAAAACACTTATTTCAAGCAGTAAATGACAATTTGTTTGTTTTTAATCAAAAATGTCAGTTTTCAAATGTTTTAACTACTTTAATTAATTTAAAATTGACGTTTTCTGACTCTTAATAAAATCTCTTCAACCACAGTATTATACAGGGTGTCCCAGAATAACATGTAAAATGGAAGACCACAGATTCGTGGACTCAAAACAAGCAGATTTAGGTTAATTCACCTACATACAAAATCGCTTCGTTTGGCCGCTAGATGACCTCAAAGTTTGTGAAAATTTTTTGGATTTTGTAAATAACTCAATACGTATGATTCGATTTTGATTGTTTTTGGGGTGTGGACTTTTGTTTTCAATCTACACATTTTGGTGTCATACAGAATATTTTTTAAAACTCTACAACTCCTACAAAATTGATGTATGGTGATAATATCCGTTCATAACTTTTCCTCTTTCTGCCAATAATGACAACTATTTTTTATTTGATAGGTGATAGCATTCGGAAGTTTTTGGGACTCTCGTAGATTTCTGTTTAACTGAGTGGTTCGGGTACAAAAAAGTATTTTTTAAATGTATACATTATCTTGCCAGCGATATTACAATACTTAACAAAGTGCTAGTATAAATTTCAGTTTGCTCTTGTTTGGGATAGCATTATTATTGGCTCTATTATTCTACCCAATAGACTGAATCGGGAATTTTATTTAGAATTTTTGCAAAACCTGAGTTATTGGAAGATGTGCTGTTATTACTCAGAGCTAAAATGTGGTTTATGGTGCATAAATTATGCATAATGTCGCTCCACCACATTTCACTGTAAATGTCCGGCAGTATCTGAACCAAAGATTCACTAGTCGATGGATCGATAGACTGTTAACTACGTTCACCAGACTTAACACCTTCCGACTATTATCTTTGGGACACCCTGAAGACAACAGTGCATGATTCCACATCTAACACTGAACTGAGTTGTGGAGGCATATTCAAAATGCCATAAATTTTAAAAAAATTGCACTTAAGAATTGCAAAGGGTGTCCTTTAACTTTCTTCGCCGAATTAACCTTTGTTGGTGGTGATTTTAAACAGTTTGTATAATAAGTTGTACTAAATTTAATAACCTCAACTTTGTTACTTTTTTACGAATTATTTCAATAACTCTAATTCATCGTATGTCCATATCCAAAAATGAAGTAACATATTTCATCGTAGTAAACACTCATTACGAATTGGCAGGTACAATGACTTAAAGATCAAACTGAAATTACAGTCAACCTATAAAATCAGTGACTACTAGCACTTTATTAAGTATTATATAGTGTTTACGAAGATAGTTGAAACCTTATAAAAACTAAAAGTCGGCATCTCTTTATTGTGACCGGGCACAATAAAGAGAAGCGACTTGCACAATAAAGAGATGCCGACTTTTAGTTTTTATACGGTTTCAACTATCTTCGTAAACACTACAATATGGGTGGCGAGATAATGTAGACATTTAAAAAATATTTTTTTGAACCCAAACCGCTCATTTAATCAAAATTCTGTAAAAGGCCCAAAAACATTCAGATGGTATCACCTATCAAATAAAAAATAGTTGTCATTATTGCCCGAAAGAGGAAAAACTTATGAACGGATATTATCACCATATATCAATTTTGTAGGAGTTGTGTAAAAAACACTATATTATCAAAATTTGTATATTGAAAGCAAAAGTCCACACCCCAAATATAATCAAAATCGATCAATACACAATCGAGTTATTTACAAAATTCAAAGAATTTTCACGAACTTTCAGGCCATCTAGCGGCCAAACAAAGCAATTTCGTATGTAGGTTGTACATATTATTCTGGGACATCTTGATATCCTTGAATTCGAAATTTAATGTTTCATCTAATAGTGGAAAAAAATGGCATCCATAAAAAATCAATAGTTGGTTATGGAAACATGATGATCTAGCAAGCCTGAAGAATGTTTAACTAGATAGAGCAGTATACCGATTTTCATTACTCTACTTTTAATAATAAAAAAGATTGGAGGAAATAAGAAAATACCAGTAGTTTTCAGGATATTTCAGGAACGGCGCAACTTATCTCTAATTTCTTTTCATATTGGGTTGTTTTGTACAAACTTATATTTTAAGTACAGTGCAACCATCAAAAGATCAAAAGATATTATTGACGAAAACATCTTAAATTTTTTGTGCTTCCTTAGGCTTAGATAATAATTAATAATTTATACGGCAATGATTATTTGAATATTTCACGATTATATTATATATAACATTGTATATTTGTGTTGTCTTAAGCAGATACCTTGAGCGTAAGGACTTGTTTTTAATTTGGAATTTGCTATTACTGAAAACTTTTACTGACCAGTGAAACCTTCTACTTATATAAGGACTTGTTCTCAAACATTTCCTGAATGTTATTAGTACCACCCATTTTTTTATTAAAGGTAGGCATGCTAGAGATACATTTCGACACAAAAGGAAATCTGTTACAAAACTTCACCAACTGTATACAAATAAAAGAGATGGAAATAATTATAACCATTTATTTTCAGGAAATGTACATTTAATTTGAATTTCTACAAACTCTGCCAGCAACTCGTTCGCAACTCCTTTGGCTTTCGAAATTATTTATGGTGCCTCGACATCCACCATAAACAAATTTGACGCAGCGCTGTTGAGCACTATCCCAGTAGTAACGAATGAAATAAGCATTACACGTAGGTCCTTCCAAAACTGGGGGTATAGAACAGTCTGAAATGTGAAAGTGACGATAACAACTCTTTTATTGAGGACATTTTGTTCAAAAGTACATGATATTTAATTTGCTCGTGTGCGATAATTAAATTTAACGATATTTATAATAATAAAACGCGAAACTAACTTATTTATAATATTTATTTCACACTTCATGATTCTACGCTATAGTAAACACAAAAATATTGCTTATTTTCGGATAATTACAATTTCTCATAAAATGTTACCATTACCTTGGCACAAATATATTTCTTATTCAAATGTTGACATCATTAAACAGCAAAATCATAATAAGACGTTTCTTTTTGCTTTATTGAACAAAGATTACAAGCACCTCCTCTTCAAAGTTTACCGTGCCAACGTAGTGATATACACCTCGAAATTGAATATACTACACAAAGATCTGACACTTCACTTTAATAAATGAACTTGAATGTTAACTTTTTTCGGGTATTTTGTTGTGCTTCTGTTGTTTTTTTAATAACACAATTTTAATAAACCACAGTATTTTAAAATACTGTACTATACAATATTAAAAATGATTAAAGAATTGAAAAAAAAAATCATTGAAGTAATAGGTACTTTTGTTAATAGTAACAATAAAACTAGTAAGAAAACAGTGGTAATGCAAACATTTGGGCGAATGTACATAAAAAGATTTCACTAGTATTTTGATATACCGGATTTTCCAAAATTTCAGTTTTTTTATCGTATGGACTGTTAAAAATCTAAAATTTTCTATGAAAATAAATACAGGTCATTTTTATATACAGAGAGATCCAGAATGATTGAAGTGTTTGGAGATCGCAGCATGTGCCTGTCTCAGTCAATACTACAGATTTTTATATGCTAAAGATGGTGCTAGAAACAGGCTGCGTTCCCCAAACGGTTCAATCATTCTGGATCTCTCGGTATAATATACATATGATGAACTCGACTTTAGAATAAAGAGTAGATACAAAGAAATATTTGGTATATTTAGTTATTAATATAGATCGAAAACATGTGGCGAGTATCAAATAAATAAAGAGTAGTAATCTATATTGTGCTAAATAGGCTAAATCTATGGTCAAGCCGAATACCGCTCTATGCTCACGATACACAATGCTACTGACTGTCAAAAAAACATGTGCCATACAATCGATCAAGCAAAGCGCCACTCACACGATTGGACTATGTTCTTCAGCAAAAAACCTAGATTATTCGCCAGTTCGACAGAGCAGGTATTAGGGTATCGTATCGAATAAATTGATCGATGCGAAACTTCAGATCAGAGGCAGACATGTACAAGTTATTGCACAATGACGCGGATAGTAGTTGATGATATAAAATTAGCATCTATTAAAAACTTCGATTATTTTAGATATGCACTTCGGTAAATGTTGAATGGTTATTTTCGTTTTTAAAATGGGTATTTATCGATCGCTGGAGACGATTAACCGCGAAACACTAAGACAACTGTTAATTGCTTTCTACAATCGCTTCCCTTATGAGTAATAAATTATTGTTTTGTTAACTTTTGCTGGTACTTATTTTTACGTACTATACCTAAACAGGGTGTATCACGAAAAGGACCCAGTAGGATTATCTCAAAAAGTAGTCAGAATTGAAATCTGAAAATTTGTTGTCGGGGATTATCAAAAATATCTATTTAATGAAAATAGGGTCAACTTCCTCGCACTTTCGGTTATACCGGAAGTCATCATCAGGTCTGTTATTTCAAATGGAAGATTTTGTATATGTATTCATTTTTAATTTCTAAGCTACTATGGGCCAAAATTTGACAGTTTTCAATTTAGTATCAATTTTCGAAAAAAATTGAGGGATACAAGTGATTTTTGAAAACTCTGACATTTAGCTTTATTTATTAATTAAAATTGGCATGGATAATTTAAAAGCAATGGAATTCAACCAGTTTATGTCNGTTCGACAGGGCAGGTATTAGGGTATCGTATCGAATAAATTGATCGATGCGAAACTTCAGATCAGAGGCAGACATGTACATGTTATTGCACAATGACGCGGATAGTAGTTGATGATATAAAATTAGCATCTATTAAAAACTTCAATTATTTTAGATATGCACTTCGGTAAATGTTGCATGGTTATTTTCGTTTTTAAAATGGGTATTTACCGATCGCTGGAAACGATTAACCGCGAAACACTAGGGCAACTGTTAATTGCTTTCTACAATGGCTTTCCTTATGAGTAAGAAATTATTATTTTGTTAACTTTTGTTGGTACTTATTTTTACGTACTCTATACAGGGTGTATCACGAAGAGGGTCCAGTAGGATTATCTCAAAAGTAGTCAGAATTGAAATCTGAAAATTTGTATGTCGGGGTTTATCAAAAAGATCTATTTAATGAAAATAGTGTCAACTTCCTCGCACTTCCGGTTATACCGGAAGTCATCATCAGGTCTGTTATTTCAAATGGAAGATTTTGTATATGTATTCATTTTTAAATTCTAAGCTACTATGGGCCAAAATGTGACAGTTTTCAATTTAGTATCAATTTTCGAAAAAAAAATTGAGGGATACAAGTGATTTTTGAAAACTCTGACATTTAGCTTTATTTATTAATTAAAATTGGCATGGATAATTTAAAAGCAATGGAATTCAACCAGTTTATGTCAAATTTGCAAAAATTCATACAGAGTGTTTAAAAGCGTGTAGTCAATATTGTGACGTTGAAGTTGAATTTACTCAAAAATTTCAAATGGTACACTCTGTATATTATTACATTAATGGATGCAGAATTAAATTTACTTTAAAATTATACCATAGTTGGAAATTGGAAATTATTGATTTCAGCACAGAAAAATCTACAGTGGATTTGATGAATTAAAGAATTGAATAATAAACGGCGTCTTAAGGAACTGTAATCTTTATTATTAAACCTTCATCAAAAACGATAATTCAGTATATCAAATCAAAAAGAGACGATGCTTTAGATAAACCCCCCATACTCGTAGATTTTTGTGTTGAAATCAATAATTTTTAATAGGGAACTATAGTATTATTTTAATGTAAATTTAATTCTGCATTCATTAATGTAATAATATACAGGGTTTACCATTTGAAATTTTTGTGAAAATTCAACTTCAATGTCACAATATTAGCCACACGTTTTTAAACACTCCGTATGAATTTTTGCAAATTTGAGCTAAATATCGGAGTTATTCTGTTACCAAAAATCACTTGCATCCCTTTTTTCGAAAATTGATAATAACTTGAAAACTGTCACATTTTAGCCTATAGCATCATAGATGAAATTAGTCTAGAATTTGCCGAAGAATTAAAAAATGCATAAATATACAGTGTATACATTTGAAAAAAAAACAGACTTCTTGATTATTTTCGGTATAACCGGAAGTGCGAGAAAGTTGACACTATTTTGTAACCCCTTTTGTAACCCCTGTATAAAAATTTTCAGAGTTCAATTCTGACTACTTTTTAACATAATCCTACTGGACCCTCTTCGTGATATACTCAGCATATTCTTAAAATATAAAAAGTGCAGTTATAAAAGGCCCTTTTTGTTTGAATAAAATTACGTGAAAGAGAGCCCGGCCTACAGCCAACCCTGTACCACATTGCAGTCGCCCTAACATTTGCGATCTGTATACTATTTAATAGTATTACTATACCAATTTACGCTATTACTATTTAATTGTAACTGCTGTCACGCGCTATTTAATTGCAACTGTTTAAATCGAAATAAATAACCATCTAAAGTAATTATTACTCACCTGATTCTGAAAATGGTTGTACATCTCCACATAATGCATTTGCAATAAAAATTGCAAACAACAAGAAGGATAGATTTAGTTTTTCCATTGCGAATACGTTTTTTACACCTATTTTGTTAAGCATCTACAATTTACTCTTTATATACTAACGAGAAATGCAAATTTGAAGATAGTGTAATGTGCCAAGAACGTATTCATATATAATTATCTATACCTATATGATAACAATATGTAACAATTTAACCATAACATTTTATACACATTTATTATATTTCAGACATGATAACAATTTAGCAGAATTAACATTTAAAGTTTGAGTGCAAGAGGTGTGTTAATAATATAACCACGCAATCGTTGAAATTCCTGAATGTGTATAGGAACTGTTTGAAATTCAGTAAATAGTTCTTAATTATTATTATCATGAGTGGTTTGTCGTTTGTCATGAGTGGAATCAACCTTTAGGGAATATCAATTATTTCAGAAATGGTACATACAAGAATATATTTTTGTTTTTAGTGCTCTTTTCCAAAAAGGATAATATATATGGTGATAGAGATTTACGTTTTCGGTTCTAACTTTGGACTTACCTTGTATATCTTGATAAGTAGACTGGCCCCATACATAATAATAAGAAATTAGAAAGAAGGTATATCTCGCTTCATTTTCCCAGCACATGAAATAACATTCTAGGATTGTTATGAATCTGATTACAATTCTGTTATTCTCAGCAAAAGTTCTTTTCTAGTATCTACGGATGTTGGATGGATGCGTTTATTTGGGTGACCCAGCAGAAAAAAGTCTAATGGATTTAGGTTGGGTGAACTTGGTGTCCAAAACAGCATTTGATAACTATCGATGCACTAAACGGACAAAATAAGGTGGTATACAACCTTGTATGTGCCTAGAACATGTTTATTTTTAATTTTGAACTTGTTTCTTTTAAGCTATTTCCAAAAGGTTTTTGGACTTAGTAAAGTTAAATAAATTAAATTCATGGAACAATTTCTAAAAACTTAAAATGTATTAGTTGTAGCTGCCTTTGCAATAATTGTTTTTACAACTGTTGCAAAAACAAATTTATCTCGAAAATAGTTAAATTTCTCAAAATAAACGGAGTAATTTTGTTACAGGAAAATGTTCCAAGTATTTAAAAATAATATTTTCAGTTCGCTGGTATGACATCCATCAAAATTTTTGAAAACATATGTGTTTGGGTCAATCTCTTTATGCATACCCTGTAATGACCGAGTGACGGTAATAGTTAATAATAATAATAAATGTTTTATTGTAACGCATGGTGATAATAGTTTAAATAACTAGATGGATTTCATAGGGTCTAACGACACTTACAATGTACGATAATTCAATAAACAAAGAAATCTAAATAAAAAATTTAGATAAATTTGGAACGAATACACTGAAGATGAATTTTTCGAGAAAAAACGTCTGAATTTGGTTCGGGCTGAGGCAGTACAGTATTGAGGATCATGAAAGCTTGCAAAAAATGTAATAAAATTTCCAGGGTTATATTTAAAAAAATAAAGTTGATGATGGTCCTGGAGAGGCGAAACATTACATATAAAAATTGATTATACCATTCGATAGAGTGCAGAAAGTGGCCATGAGAAAGTGTTCATCTTTTTTCAATATCACCTGAAATAAGGCTGATACGAGACAAAAACGGATTTCCAAAATTTCGTTTTTTTTTTCAAATATTTCGAAAACTAATCATGTTAGCCTTGATTTTTTAGAGGCATAATGTTGGTCCCCTGATTACGCAACTTTGCCCCCATTTAAGTTACTTCGTACCTCTTACCATTTCCGAGATCCCTGTAGTGAGAAGCGAATTTGTAACAGTCTGTAGTTAGCGAGCTGAAGATGATTACATTTTTTAAGTAAGTAATTTAATAATATCAATGTAGGCTGCTATAATTTGCAGGCTTTTGTTAATTTACATGTTAAAAATAACATTTATGAAGGTTGTGTACTTTTCAAACTTTTTCAGGTTATCCGTTCTCATTTAAAATGCATGTGCGATTCACGACTGACTTCTGAACTTTGCTGACTTCGTTCGAAATTAACGAACTACTTGTACCAACGACGACTTCCAAACAGAAGATGCCAAATCATCAAATATTTGATGGATATTTCTAATTGTTTGAAGACATGATTCCAACAATTTTCAATATCTGTGATCGTCCTAAACAGCCAAATTTGAATGAACAAGGAAAAATTGTACAATTGAATATTGTTTCCAATTAAGAACTAGAAGAATTTCGACACACACTAAATGTAAGTACCTATTCCTTATTGGAGAGTAAGGTGAACATTGAGAAGTAATTTGTTGTATTCCTTTCACGTACTTTGTCTGATGAGAATCTTTATTTTAAACAGGAAACTCATTCTCAATGGCGATATTTAACAAGACGCATTATCATATCGTTGTTTAAACCTTAAATTATGACGACTGGACTGTTGAAAATATGTAAAACTACTTATATTAGTAATGCCACCAAAAATTGGATGATATATGTGATTTTTTGAAAATTGGAATTATGATATATTATCAATATATTATTAATATTTCCCCATGTTTTAACCCCAGATAAAAAAAGTGAAATAACTTAATTTTCAGACAGACGGCCTCACGACGCTAGAAATGGTTCCTTGGTGCCATGACAGCATCATTGACGATCAACTAATTGGACCCTCTTTTTTTGAGAAGAAATGTCCACCAACTTTATAAATTGCCATCTGGTAAAAGATGTTCATTTGGTTAGGAAACAATAAATTTAATACATGATAGAGCGCCTGTTCAAGATGAATATCTTAATAACACTTATCCTAATAGACGGATCGGAATTGGAAGACCAGATCGCCAGATGTAACCACTTTAGGCTATTTCTTTTAACGTTATATTAAGAGCTTAATATACAGTTAACATTGGATCTGAATTAGTACAGATAATTGATGACTAAATGTCAACAGCAACACAGAGCACTCTAAAGGCGGGTATCCACTTGTGGCAATGCTCCGTAACGTAACAACGAACATGTTACGGCCTGTTGCAAAAGGTGACACGGTTCGCTGCGAAAGTATGTATGGTTTTGGTCGTATCATTCATTCCGTAACGTAAAGGCGGGTATCCATTTGTGTCAAATGCCTCGTAACGTAACACCGAACATGTTACGTTACAGCTAGTGGAGACGGATAATTGTTGCATGGTAAGTGTAACAAATTTGATACGCGTAACTAATCTGAAACGAACAATCAGTTGTCGGTTTTTTGTCGTCGCATCAAAGGGATGCAACAGTACTTTCTGCCACATGTTGAGACGGGGTTACCTTTTTGGCCGTAACGTTACCTGTTGCACATGTGATTTTGTCTTATTTTTTGTTTCGTCAGTCTTTTGTATATGATCTGGGGACAGTCTGTTTCCTGCAGTGACTAGGAAGAGTGTGTTTTTCTGTGTTTGTGCCATGGAGTGGAGTAAAGAAAAGATTTCCGGAGATTTCCGTTTATTATTCTTCAAAATTGTATGATGAATAAAAATATAAGACGCTGCTGCTAACTGCAATTGCAGTGACGAATTCATTATTGCAGTCAGGTTCATACTGCGAGTTTGTTTCTGTGTCGTCTCGTAACCTTATTTTGTTACGTTACGGAATGAATGATACGACCAAAACCACACATACTTTCGCAGCGAACCGTGTCACCTTTTGCTACAGGCCGTAACATGTTCGTTGTTACGTTACGGAGCATTGCCACAAGTGGATACTCGCTTCAACAAAATAACCTACCCGCAACGTAAAATGTTCGGTGTTCCGTTACGGGGCATTTGACATAAATGGATACCCGTCTTAAGAGTAGTTACTACTGTCGCAGCTAAAGGGGCGTAGTTTGTCACCCCTGCAAGTGACAGTTAGAATTTAATTGAGACAGTCTGCTACTTGAATGATCAAATTTATATTTTTTAGTTCTAATGTCTCACACACTTTGTGCATCTTATATTTCCCATTTAAGCGTATTACTCCCGGCTGAGATTGGTAAGTGTATTTGAACCAAACAGCACAATGCAAATCGAATTTATATTCTTTGCTTCTTATTTTTAGGTATTTGCCTAATTTTACTCAAATGATTAAATTTTTTAAACATTCATAAAGCATCTCTTTGGGTGGTTATTATCACTGCCGCCTTGACGATCGCATTGTGCCAGGTCAGGTTTTACAGTGGACCAGTTTTCAGTGCCGTGCAGAAGTGTATTTTTAAATCATTTTCAAACTGCACTTTTTGATTTTTTCTTTACAAAATTGTATTTGTAAGAGTCCCCTGTATATCCAAAATTTTTTTTTTGGATAAATTCTGAATCACCCTGTATAATAGAAATTTGCTACACATTATATACAAATTATTATTACCTGTTACCTTTTAGGGACGCCTATGAAACTCATTAAATTTTATTGTTAGGCGTTTTCATACATGTTCAACGCAGTTCGAAAAAACCATATCTTTGGAATCCATACGACTTACAAAAAGATATTATCCCTTTCCAATTTTCTCATGAAAAACCTAGAATTATCTGTATTCGATATAGGTGGCTGCATCTACCTATTTCCTCATTTATTTTCAATTATTCAAAAATTTGTACGCGTAGCGCAAATGGCTCCATCTGTCGTGCTGACTCCCAACTATTCCATTCAAATGGCTACAGCAGGAAGCGACCTGCTATATTACCAGGCACTTTGTTGCACGACTGCCACCCATAGAGGGCGTAACGCAATATTTTAATTGCCAGTGTTGCGAGAAACAACTACTCCGGAACTGACGAACGATCCTAGCTGTTGCGAGTATAATTCAATGCCGGTCAGAGCATATAGCGTGCGGAGTAGTTGTTTCTCGCAACACTGGCAATTAAAACATTGTTCAAAAATTTGTTTGGATGTTAAATTAATATACAGCCTAGGCGAACATATTTATTTATTATATGGCATATAATCAGACTAATCTAAATATAAATCAATAATATAAACAGTAATACAAATACTTATTGTATTACTGTTTACTGTTATTATGTATACTGTTGTTGCAAAACAGAAGAA